AAAAACAAGGACACCGGAGGAATGCGAACGTACTGGCATCTACAGTTGCAACAAACATTACACACAGCTGAGTTCCTAGCCAGATTACTAGGAAGCCTTTACATTACGCAGGGAGTGGTGGTACATGCCTGTAATCCCAGCTACTCGGGAGGCTGAGATAGGAGGATCTCAAGTTCAAGTCCAGCCTGGGCAATTAGCCAGACCATGTCTCAAAATAAATAGGGCTGGGAACATAGCTCAGTGATAGAGTGCTCACCAAGCAGCAAGATTCTGGGTTCAATCCCCAATACCACAAAAAAGAAAAAAGAAAAAGAGGGACAAACTCAGATTCAAGGTTTGTCTACCTTAGTTCCTATTGCCCTCTGTATCACATCTAGTTTCAATGAAAAATTCCAAGCCACCCTAAAAGGCATGAGAAATTCTAGAGATGATCATCAGAACAAGACTCCAATACAACATAGATGTTGCAATCACCGGCCAGGGAATTTGAAATAGCTATGATTATCAATCTGAACCTCATGAAAATATGAGGGAGTAACAGTAGAACTTTGACTAGTGCCCTAAGCAGCAGCTGTAAGAGGCAGAGTATCCCAGATACAGTTCAGATACAAATGCCACTGGCACAGTGAGGATGGGTGACCACTGGACCCTTTGAAGTCATGTCCCTAAGTGATTGTACCAATTCTGACTCTACTTTGCCTTCTGATATGAACAGATTTCCCATACAGAACGCACACTGTGGGACCTTTTGCAAATAATCTTGCCCATCGGACATGGAAGCTGTCTTCTTTCAAGGGGCACCCTCAGTGGGGCACCTTCCTTTTTACTGCTATCTCTGCTGTGACTAGACTGTGATTTGGGAAACTTTCCTCCAACTTTCACAGTGTCTGTATAAGGAAATGCAGGCTACCAGCTCTTTCTCTCCTTCTCTATCACCCACAGAAGTGGCTGTTTGAAGCACAGTTCCTGCTTTGCCCTGTCTGTGATTTGTGCTTTATTACTGAACTCTAAGATCTTTAACTACTTTTCTGAACAAAATTCCGGGCATCAAATCATTCAAATGTCATCTTTTTGTATAAGATTAAAAGTTCTTGCTAGTCACTGCTTGAGATCCAGCTTTCTTGGGGGATTTCTTTTTTTTTTTCTTTTTGGACAGGGTTTCACTATGTAATTCAGGCTGGCTTTGAACTCATAGCGATCCTCCTGCCTTAGCCTCCCAAGTGCCGAGATTACAGGTGTACATGACCATACCTGGCTTCCCTTTCTTAAAAGACTTTATATTCTGAATAACTCCTTGCTCCATTAATTGACTAGGCGAGTTTATGCTGTGGGGCAGGGAGGTGATTAGAAGCAGGGGGAAAAAAAAAAACCCACGAAATTACAATCCGATTTCTCATGCTGCATATTATTATTTTAACCGTATCCTCAAATTAACTCTACTGATAGTTTTTTCAGACAATCATAAAATTGTACCTCTGTAATGTGTTCTTGCTCTTATGCCCATATCTTATGCATAAATGGGCCATTTCTTTTCGGAACTAGGCAAACATTCCTATAGTTTCTGTGCCCCACTTCTAACTGGAGAACCGTAACCCGTTCCCACATGCCGGAACATCCAGGGTCCTCCGAGCTCCTGCCCGTCCTTGGTGTAAGCAGCATGCATCATTGCTCGGCTTTTCCTGTGTGCACCCGCGTGGCCCTGAGAATAACTGTCCGCATAAGCTTGTGCCCTAAGCACCCTGCTTGTCGCAGCCTAGGCCTACTCTGTGCCCTGGCACAACGGGCCCTTTATCTCCTTACCCTGGGAGCTCAGTGCACGATGGACTGCGTGAGACTCTCTGTCCACACCACGTTTACCATGTGTCACCGGCCACACATCTCCACTGTTCTGTTTCCCCTCTGTTCATTTGTTCCACTCATCACACCCCGTTTTCTTTCTGGAGCGCAAAGGAAAGCTAAAAACAAAAACTGACTTCTCATAAACACTGCTAACTAACCACCGAGGAGCCGCTCACTCTCCTCGGGAGGCTCTCTGCCAGTCTAAGCAGCGCTTCTCGCTCCTGGCTACAGAGAAGCTGCTCCTTCGCTGGCCAGCTCTCTGCAGGGGCCACCAGGGAGCCCTCCAGTGCGGCAGGAGGTGGGGGTCCCCAGGTCCGCTGAACAGCTCGGTCCGGGTGTGGGTGAACCGTGACAGCAGCAGCCCTGGGGCCTCTCCCTCCACTCACTGCAAATACAGCACCCAAAGACATCACTTGATTAAGGAAGACACTACTTTATTACCACGCAAGTTGAACTGCTGTTTTTATGCAATGTTTTATGCAGAGTTTTATGGCAACTTCTCCAAAAAGCTGTAGTCCAGGATTACAGTTTTTGGGGTTTCTTCCAATTTAAATAATCTGCTTCTAGTTGAAAGGATGCAAACTTGCATACATGGGCCAACCAATACATTAGTAGGATGGCCCTAAATAAAGACCACCATGCGGAACCTCTGCTGCCCCTGTACTGTAGCAGTCTGAGTTCCCGGACCAGAAGCCAACAGCTTGGTGCCTGGAGCTCCGGACAGCAGTGGCCTCAGGAGCTGGAGGCGCTCACAGATCTGAGGCGATGCTCTCTGAACTACCAGCCACACAGGCACCCAGTGTCCACTCAGGACCTGCTGGGTGCAGGGTTCTGCTGCGTGCGCAGCAGAGAAGTCACACGTCCCGCTCGGCCCAGATGATGGTTCTACCTGCCCCTCATTTTAGGCACCTACCCAGCATTCCCTCCCAGGCAAGGCGGCGTGTTTCCCCACGCAGTCTCGACAGGGTTGAAAACAGGCAGCTCAGGGAGAATAAAAATCTAAAGGATTGAGTCAGTTGGTGGGAAGCCAGTCCTTGTTGGTTCATCCACCCTCACTTTATTAGTTACATATCCTATTCTGAAAATCACTTACATAGCATTTAAAATGTGCCAGGCACTATTATAAGTATGATATGAATATTAACTCATTTAATCTTCCTAACAAGCCTAAAGGATAGACATTATCATTTTCCTAATTTTAAGAGGAGGACACTGAGGCACGGTGAGGTTAGGTAACCTGGCCAAGGTCACAGCTAACATGTGATGGGAGTGCAGGCTGGAACTTGAGCAGCTTAGCTCCAGTCTACACCATTAACCACTGAGCAAAATGTTTTACAAAGGAGACTGAGGCGTTTACGTATGTAACTTGCTTTCTAAGGGCAATTATACTACTTTAACCACAAATTTCTCATCCAAAAATTAGAATAATAATATTGAAAACAAAAGGCAACCAGCAGCTGTAGCACCCCATTGCTGGTTTTCGGCTGTGTGTGCTCCAAAAGCTTCCTGAAAGCACACCTTTGCCCGAGAGCCCCAAAACCTTTCCCACGGGAAGCAGGTCTGTGCAGACCAAAACAAAGTCATTAGCACTTACAGTCACTTAAAGTTAAATTAATTACAATTAAATAAAATTTAAAATTCAGTTCCCTCAGTTACGTTAGCCACATAACTAGTGCTCAAAAGCCATGTGGGGCCAACTGCTACCATGCTGGATAGCATGGAGACAACACGCCTGTCAAAACGCGAAGTTCTGGTCTGCGCCGAGTTTCACCTGAGTGTGATTTCTTTTCGTGCTTTCCTCTGAATACATTAGTGGGGGTAACTTCAACTCCCTCTCATTATACATACAGAAAATTCAAGTTACATTGCATTTAATCATAAAGCAAAAGCTGAATTCAAAGGGCAGCGTGGACTGTTTACAAGCAGGTCAAGTAAATTCCATGCCTGCTGGTACCTGGAACCCAGGGTGTGAGCATGTCTTCTACAAAACTGAAAGCGTAAATAAGGTGTAAAAGGTATGACAGATGTTATGAAATGGGAAGAAACTGTTCGAAAGGAAAAAGGCTAGGGCAGGGAAAAGAGAAAAGGAAGGAAGGGAGAAGGAAAAAAAATGCAAGTTAGTTATACTACTAGTATCTCTTAGTTCACTGAAAAGGAAGGTTTGTGCTAATATTGGTTGGAAAATTTTTTATGCCCTTATCTTGTACTCTAACTACTTTAAAGATGACAATATGCAAGGTATTAACTATTGTTATTCTATTACTTTGTTATGAATTTTTATTTTTTCCCATTTAAAAAAAATAAAGATGTCTTCTACAATAGCAAATAGAAGTTTGAGATCAGTGAGGAAAAAAAGCACTTATTAGAAAGGACAGCAGAAGGCAAAATCAGTGTAGTTTATAGACTTCAGCTTTGTGTTTTGGACGTTAGCCTCTGGGACATGTACCCGAGGAGTCACAAAAAAGCTAATCAAGAGAAGGCAGCTAAGTCCATACAAACTAATCCTTGTCCACTACATAAGGCAGGTCAGACACTTGCAGGGCCTCAAAATAATAACAAAACAAAAACCTACACAAAAAACAGTTCAGATAAGAATGGAAACCACATGGTCCACCCAAGGACAGTAGGGCCACATTCCCCACTGACGGGAAGTATTTTCTAGTATCCTGAACTTCTATTACTAGGATACCTAAATAAATAATACTGTCATTCTACGTCATGTGGGTTCACATGAAGCAGAAAAGCTGTAATTAAAACACAGCTACAAAGCACACATTCTACAACATTCCCACACTTGAGGAATCTAAACTCCAAAATTCTCTAATTCCTTAATCTGAAGTCTATAGACTCCTAGGATGACTATTTTTTGATCAGCAGGAATTGCCTCTGCTACCATAAATCTTTGTTCGCTTTGAAAATCCTCTATCCTTTTCCCTGCTTTTTCCTCTCATCTTTACTGCCTATGATATTGCTTTTGGTAACACAATTGAATTTAGAACCTTTAAAAAAATTTTTTTGATGAATATGGCCATTACTTATCAAGCAGGACTTATAGGAATGATAAAGTACAGTCATTTCATGTTATAAAACACCTTAAGCTCCTCAGATTTAAGTTAAAAAAAGAAAAGATGCAAAAAAAAAATAGTAATTCTATTACGTACTTGTAACTTCTTGTAAGAAATCCAAACACGGCCGACTACTTCCGGAAATACTTATGGAGACAGCCAGTGGGGTCTGGCCTTCATAGTTCCTTGTGTTCGTGTCCGCGCCATAGTTATACAACATCCGTGCACACAGCACGTCATCCCGCAGGGCAGACAAGTGTAAAGGAGTCTGCCCATCTTCTAAGCGCCCCAAGTTTGTGTCTGCCCCCCTCTGAAGGAACATCCGACAGTAGGAGTGATTGCTTTTGATCACGGCATAGCGCAACAGGAAGCCATTCTGAATGTCAATGTTGGCGTTGTGGTCCAGGAGGATTTTCACGCAGCTGGACCGCTCTCGGATGATGGCGAGCTGAAGCGGCGTTGTACCTTTATCACTGAGTGGGTCGACCTCGGCCTTGAACTCCAGAAGGAGTCGGACAAATGAGTCCCTCCCGTAGTGTGCGGCCACGTGCAGGGGAGTCCAGCCATCGTTGCTTTTCGCGTTAATAATGTCGCTCCTATATTCAGATTCTAACATCAAGCGAGCGATCCGGGCCCGGCCATGCATGGCTGCATAATGAAGAGCAGTGAAGCCTCCGATTAAGTCCTTTACTGTGGGATCAGCTAGAGTTAAAACCAAAATGAAAACATGAGCAGACTCTAAGACAAAACAAGGCACGCTACCATGGAGTCTCACAAAGCGGGAAGGGGCTGAACTCTAGAAAGAACACCATGTACTTTCCTTCCTCAGTTTAAATGAAGTGTCATTTCAATGGGAAATACATTTTAGTAGTGCCATCAATCCTGAGTTTATGGAAAAAGAAAGACTTACAAATGTTTAAAAAGATGCAGAGCTCAGACCACCGCATCCCTCGTCTCTGCTCATTTAACCAACTGCCTTTGGCTACTCAGCTCTCCCATCTCTGTATTAGTTCATGTTTTTCTCTTTTGAAAACTTTTGTTTTATTTTTCTCTTGTGCTTTTCCTTGGTCTTAAAGAGAAGCATGTGTAGCAACATCTGCTGCTCCGAATTACAGATGTTCTATGGTCTGGAAGACCATTGTTTTAGGGTGCATTAGGAAAAAAAGTTTTCTGTGGTCTGTAAAAATTCCAAAGTGTGTAAGATATATGTTAAGTGATCTTGATAAATCATGTTTTCATAAAATAAAACATGACTCTTCATTTTACATGGTCTTACAAGTTTATAAGAATTAAGCAACACGTTACGTGAAAAATTGGGAGAAAACTCAGCACTGTATGAACAGTATTTTTAAAAAGTTTTCATAGTATCTCCTAAACCCACCCATTTTAGGGAAAGGGGATTTATCTGCTCTGTGACTCCACAAGTCACATGCTTTTGTCACTTGCCCAGCTTTGTCATGAAGCCAAAGGTCAGCTTTCTGTGGCTGGCATCCCACTGGCTCCCTGAGCAGTGGGCAGAATGGGACAAGAACTGCTAATGCCACACTGCACCCACCACTTCCTGGAAGGCAGTGATTCAGTATTAAGCTGAACTGGTCAGACCCAACTTCTGCACAAGGACTACAATGCCCGTAAAAGTCATCCTGAAGTTTTGGTTTGTTTATGAAAGAGAAAAAGATCAGAATTGTTTCCCACAGAGTGCCTCCCGAGTTACTCATTGTTTAGTAAAGTGTTATTTAGTTCTAGAACATACTGTAACAGCTGGATTCTCTTAGAGAAACGTATGAAGCAGAAAATTGTATGTTGAAATATTAATACTCCTGGGGGGCACGAATGTTTCAGTTAAGGAGTTACTAACAAAAACTAAAGGGTAACATTTTTAAAGTAAACATTATTCGAATTTCTAGAAACATTTAACATAAAGTGAAAGTACAGAATGGTAACATCATTTTTATCCCTTTGGAGAAAGCGAGGGTATCACTTTGTGTACCTCTTAACTAAAGAACACAATACTGATTTACTATGCAACAAAGAAGCAGGAAGAAGGTTTTAGCCAAGTATTTTGCTGCCATCTACTGGTACACCATGAACAGGAACTAGTAGTGGTTTATTCTGACACGAAGCTGAGCTCTCAAGCCACGCAAATCTGCTTCACATACAGTACCTCACTTATCTGGAGTTGACTAAGTGAAGACAGACATAAAATCTAAGCGAGCCCCTCCTCTTCAAATGGAAAACACATCTTACTAAAACGTTGTTTCTGAAACACTACCTGTCCAAGCAACTGTTTCCAGACATTCCCTCTTGATTTGTGGGTGCAATTTAAGAATGTATCATCTTTCATTCCTCCCAACTGTCACGCACCAGGGGTGCCTTCAAAACTGCCAGCCAACATACACTACCTGTTCTACAGTAAAACTGAAACTATGTTCCTTGAAACTGCACTTGCATTTTTGGTTTCCGCTTCAGGTCTTTTTTAGGTTCTACTTACATTCTGGTGCTAACTGAGCTAAGGAAAAACACAGATGAACATACACAGCAATGATCTGATTGGTCTCAGTAAAAATCATTCAAATGAATTAACTGATCACACCTCGAGAACACAGCAGGGAATGAAGAGCTGTAGGGTAAAACATATACACTGTATAGTTACTGGACACAAGAAAGTAACAAAATGAGAGAGTCTGAGGCAAATGAAGGCACAAACAAAACTTGATTCAGGGCAAATATTAGCCAATGCAATAAGACAAGAAAAAGATCATATTTATAACAGCAGAAATTATAAAACACCTAGACCGAAATTCAGTAAGAAATGCATAAGGCACATGCAAAGTAAGCTTACTTCCTCTATGTCTGCTCCAATCTCCCTTTACCAAAAAGCCTTCCTTGAACACTAACATAGTGACCCACCAAACTTGTTACTTATTCCCCTTAGCAGACATCTTTCTCCAAGTGAGAACAATTTTAAATAAACTACAGCATAATCTCAACAAACTCATTCAAGTCTATTGACAAACTGCAATACATTTATAAATGAATGCAAAGAAATATTTTCTATGTTGACTATCACTATTTTTTCTACCAGCTTTACTGAGCTGAAATAAAGTTTACTCACTTTAAGACTGGTGAGTTCTTATCTATGGTGAGATAACCAAACTCACTGTGAAAATATGGAACTTTCCCCTCACCTTAAAAAGGTCCTCTATGCCTCTTTAAGGTCAATTCCCGGCCCAGATGATGGGGTCCAGGCAAACCTCTGGTTAATAAAAATAAACTTTTGCCTTTTTTGGAATTTCGTATGAATGGAATCATATGTAAACTTTTGTCTTTGGCTTATTTCATATATAGTATTTTTGAAATCCATCCATGTCAGTGTATCGAGAATTAGTTTCTCTGCACTGGTGAATAGTATTCTATAATACAAAATTTTTTTACCCATTTGTGAGCATATGGACATTTGGGTTCTCTCCAATTTGAGGCCGTTTAAGTGATGCTACTGTGACAGCTGATGTGTAAAAGTGTGTAGTGATATGTATTTTCATTTTAGTTGAGTAGATACCTAGGAGAGAACTTCTGGTTATATGTTAAAGGTGCACTTTATAAAAACCTTTGCAGTGGACACACCAGTTTACATTTGTGGCAGTGACACATCAGATTTCCAGCTGTTCCACATTGTGCTATTTATAATTTTTTTTACCGTTTTTTTTTTTTTATGTCTGTCTAAAGAAATCTTTGCTTAATAAAATGCTACAAAGCTGTTCTGGTTTCTTCCAGTAATTTTGCAATTTTAACTATAAGTTTAGGTCAATGATCTATTTAATTTTTGTGTGTGGTGTAAGGTAAAGTCAACATTCATTATTTTCCGTATAGTTATCTATTTGTTCCACCAGAACTTGTTAAAAAGACTTCTCCCCAGTGATTTGCCCTGGTCCTTTTGCTGAAAATCAATTTACCACTTAAGTGTAGGTCTACTTCTGAACTGTTTAATTAATCTAAAAGCCTTTCCACGTACCAATACTAGACTGTCTTAAATATTGTAGCTTTATAATACATTTTGCTAGCAGATAGTATAAATACTCTAACTTTGTCTAAAATTATTCTGGATAATATATTTTGGAATCAACTTGTCAACTTCTTTAAATGAGCCTGCCGGAACTTGATTGGAACTCCTCTAACACTAAAAATGGTAACTCCCCAAAGGGTCTGAACAATATGGATCCTTCCAAACAACGAACATGGGGTATTTCTTAGGTATTATTTAACTTCCCTCAGCAATGTTTCAGTGTATATATAGGTTGTGAACCTATTTCATTACATCCCTAAACATTTTTAATTTTATTGCTATATATGAGTTAAAACTCCATTTTCTAAGTGTTTATCACTGAGAAAAGATAAATTAAGTTTTATGATGTTAACCTGTAATCTAAATTCACTTCTTAGTTCTAGTACATTTTTGTGGATTTGTTATAATTTTCTGCATCCACAATTATGTTCTCTGCAAATAAAGACAATTTTACCTCCATCCTTCCAATGTATTTACTGTTCTTCTCTTACTCCAATGACTAGAACCTATAGTAAAATGCTGAATAAAAATGGCAAAACCAGACATCCTGTGTTTCTGAATTTAGAGGGAAAATATTCAGCACTTCACTAATGAATACAAAGTAAGCTATCATTTTTTGCAGATGACCTTACTTAGGTTTAGAAATTACCTTCTCTTGTCTGACTAGTACTTAACAGGGACGGGTTGCATAATTTAGTCAGATGCAATCTCTGCATTTATTGAAATGTTTATTTGGTATTTGTCTTTTATCCTCTTATGATAAATTAGTCACCTTACTGATTTCCATGTTAAACAAACCTTGAAGTCCTGAAATAAATAATACCTGGCCATGATGTAATGTCCTTTTTCATACACTGATAGATTTTAACTGCCCATGTTTTGTTAAGAAGTTTCGTATCTATTGCAACGAGGGACACTGGTCTTTCTTTTCTTCCAGTAAAATTAAGCAGGCAATTAGCAAGTGGTACCGCGTCTGCTTTCTCAGAGTCTGGTGAAGGATCATCATTGTTCCTTTAATAATTAAAATAACTCAACAAAAATGCCAGTGGGGCCTAACACTTGCTGTGTGGACAATTTCAATTATGAACTGAATTTCTTAAATCAACATATGGGTAGTATATTATTCTACTTTCTCCTTGGGTCAGTCTGGCAATTTGTGCCTTTTAAGGAACTGGTTTCTTTTAAATGGAATAAAGGTGCTCATTATATTATATTCCTTACCGTTTTGATGTCTACAAGTGTAATGATATCTCTTTTCCACTCCTGAAATTGGTTATAACTTTTCTTTTGTTTTCTTCATCAGTCTAGCTAAAGACACCAATTTTATTAATCTAGAACCAGTTTTTGCTCTTGGTTTCATCAATTATTTTCTGTCATATGCCCAGTTTCAATTCCAGAGACTGCTGTTTTCCTCTTTGTTTCATTTCTGCTTTTACTTTGGGTTTAATTTTAATAGTATGTAACTATTTCAAGTAGTAAACCTGAACAACAGTGAACTATTCTGAGATGATCTCCGTTTCCCTTTTCTCTCTTCTGTGCGCCACTGTCAGACTTACTAAAACTTACATACTATAAACCCAGTCACAGTTTTATAAGCCTTGTTTTATACTCCTCAAGAGATGAAATAACAAAAAAATGT